AAAAAAAAAAAAAAAAAAGCATGCAGAATGTATTCTGAGGTACTACTCTAAAGTAACAATTACAACATATATTCGAAGCCTTCCATTTCAGTAAATACAGATTTGAAAATTCATTTTATTATGCAATGATGGCATGAACCATTAAATCACACTGCTCTATAATCTAGTTTCAATGAAGTCTAGGAAAAGGCATATCCTATGTGTTAACATTTTTAAATGTGTAGTAAATTTTAACATTTTCGAAATGGTCTAAAACCTCAGCGTTAATACTTAATTATGTGCTCACAGGAAACCAAACATTGTATTCAGTAGGAAAGAGGAGTTGAACAGCTTATCTAAGAAATCACTTGTTCTTCAATTAGCTTTCGTCTTGCTCTGTGCTTTTATTTTGTTTGCACTGTTTTTCACTTAAATGAAAAAAAAAAAAAATACGTATTCAGCCAGGTAAGAATGATTCTCTATCCCTCCCTTATTTTAAGGAGCAACCGATCTCTACTCCCACACCAGTGTCAAGTAGAGTCCAGGGGAATGGAACCCCCACTAGGATCCAGGACACCTCTTGGCCTGACCCCTCTCCGGTATCGGAGGTTGACACCCGCCCACCTTGGGCCTCCTCGCCTCCCTCCCGCAGAGCCTTCAGCCCACAACTAGGACCGGCACCCGCCGGACCGTGCGGGTGCACCCGCGCGGGAGACACCCCGCCCCCAGCCTGATGGCGCGCGGCCGACGCGCGAGCACGACCCGCCACCCCGACGGCCGCCGGGGGCCTCGGCGCCGGTCCCACCCGGTCCCAGGTTTCGCTCCGCGGAGAGCGCAGCATTCGAGACAGCGTTCTCGAGCTTCTCCCACAAGGTCAGAGCTCGGCCGCCAGCAGCAGGCGGAGAGACAGAGCCGGGTCGGAGCGGAAAAGCAGGCAGCCCGGCCCGGGAACAGACCTGTGGAGACCGCCATCTTCTCCTGCAGCCCGACGCAGCCGCCCGCACGCACGCACGAGCCGTCGCGCGTCACTTCCGGGAGCGCGCCGCCCTGCATTCGTCACGGCGGACTCCGCCCCCGGCTGGCGCGGGGCTACCCGAGCCGTGACAGCGCGCACGTGGGCCGAGGTGTCGCCGGCCTTGCTGCTGTTTCCGCAATTCCTTGTGAATCTGCTCTAAAAACGAAACACTAAAGAAAAGTTCATGAGGGTCAGGAGCGGTGGCTCACGCCCTTTGCACTTTGGGAGGCCGAGGCGGGCAGATCACTTGAGGTCATGAGTTCGAAACCAACCTGGCCAACATGGCAAAACCCTCTCTGCTAAAAAATACAAAAATTCGCCTGACGTAGTGGCGCGCTCCGATAATCTCAGCTACTTGGGAGGCTGAGGCAGGAGAAATCGCTTGAACCTGGGAGACAAAGTTTGCAGTGAGCCGAGATCTCACCACTGGACTCCAGCCTGGGCGACAGAGCGAGACACCGTCTCAAAAAATAAAAACAAAATAAATGGGCCGGGCACGGTGGCTCAAGCCTGTAATCCCAGCACTGTGGGAGGCCGAGGCGGGTGGATCACGAGGTCAAGAGATCGAGACCATCCTGGTCAACATAGTGAAACCCCGTCTCTACTAAAAATACAAAAAATTAGCTGGGCATGGTGGCGCGTGCCTGTAATCCCAGCGACTCAGGAGGCTGGGGCAGGAGAATTGCCTGAACC